AATAATCACCTCTCTCTCTCACTCTCTCTCTCTCACTAAAAGAACTATCATCTTCTTCTCAAATAATTCTTGCTTGAAATGAATGAACATCTATTCCTATTTATACTAAGAAGAAGTCGGTTGCTACAGTACATATAAGAACTTAATCTCCAAGTAAATGGCCTTGCACTCCAAGTTAACAATAGATAAGAATATAGTGCTAGGAAGACACGTTGGTGATTATAATTCCACCAATTGTATCCTAACAATTTTCATGTTAGAATGATGAGTAGACAAGGCTAGTAAACATAGCTTTGCCACTAGCATGTAAGAGTGACACCTAACTACCTATTCAAGAATCAATTAACTAATGAAAGTAATACATATCATGCGTAAGATATATATAATACATATATATATATATAATATAATAGGATAAATATAATAGAATTAGATAAATATTTATTTCTTCAAATTATTAATATATATACTTTTAAAAATACGGTCTTCACAATTATCTGCTCAATCTTCTTATCTCAAGGAACAAAGAATTTCTCATATCTCATTCTCTTCTATCTGTTTCTCCAATCTCAAAGGGAACAAACTCCTTTCTACAGTCTCTAAGGAACCAAAGAATTTATTAATTCTTCCTCTTTTCTATCTTCTTTCTACAATCTTCAGGGAACAAAAGAATTTCCCTCTTCTTCTTGCTTTCTATCTCATTTCTCCAAATTCTCAGGGAACAAGATATATATATATATATATATATATATATATATAAAAGTAATACATATATATATAATAGAATTAGATAAATATTTATTACGTAAAACTATATAAATAGATAACAATTATTTTTGTTTAATCAATATTTAAGAAAAACGGACTCTCACACATTGCTTTATATCCAAATCTTCTTTGCTCTCTTTTATTCTTTGGAGTTGTCTTTTTTCTATAGAAAGCTTCACAAGAACAACAAAATTCTCTTTTATGTATTACACCATTCTTGTCCTTATATACTCTAAGTTTTCTCACACTAAATCCACAACCTCTAGCATATGAATTGTAATATTGATATGCCTCATGTTCATTATCAAAACTCATGCCAAGTGTTGGAAGTATGTCACCAAATTTTCTTGTGAGCTCTTCAATTTTCTTGTATACAATCAACAGATTCTTTACCATCATTGGAATATGTAGCATGAAATTCATCCACTTCATGGTCCATGAGGACACTAGCAGTATGTGCCTGCATATGTATCATATTACTTGATATTCAATGATTGACCAAAAAAAAAAATTGAATATTCAATGAATGCTACATCCATAAAGAATTTTTTTTTAAAACTTAATCTTCATTGGTCTTCCACTTCCCATGAAACTGATGGCATCCCAATCATAACAAAAGAACTTAATCTTCATAGCCAATATTGCTTGTTGTTTTTGGTTTTTATGGAAGTTTATTCATATTTTAAAAAAAGGACATGAATTGTTAAATTCGAATTTGGTTTGATACTCAAAAAACTAAATAATGCAGAGCAATCACCAAAGTATAAAAAAATAATCAAGCAATACAGAGTACTAAAACAAGAAGAAGAAAAAAGCAGCATAGATGTTACCTATCTTTCACTTGAACAAATGGAGGAAGCCTGCAATTGAAGAGCAGTGTAACTCTTGGAGCTGTTAAGTCTTCAATTCAGATAAAAGTATTTGGGCGTGGATAAAAGGAATTAGGTTCAATTCGTATTGAAGCCTATGAATTGAGATTCATATTAAAGCACGAGACATAAAGCCAATTGCCAATTATTTATTTGGGTTGTTGTTAGCTTCATGGGTAATTAATTTAGAAAAGTGGAAAGTTTGCTAGGTTAGAATAAGGGTAAATCATGAAAAATCTTATTAAAGTAATGTTTCTCTCTCATAATAATGTCATCAAATAAATAAAAAATAAAGAATTAACTATAGTTAAACCCATGGACATGTGTCAACTTTTGGGAGGGGTGGTGAGCAAAAATGCACCCCATCTGTATATGTTTGTAATAAGGAATCATGAAAAGAGGACATATGGTACAATACAACAGCAATGGTGGAACTAGGAATTTTTCTTGAGATGTGCTAAATTTTTTTTGTTTTTGGTATGGAAGATCTATATAAACAATGAGAAACTTTTTTAATTAATACATTGAGAACCAAAAATAAAGCATATATCATTAGTAATATGTAAACAAGAAAAGAGAGAGAAGAAATAAAAAGAAAAGAGAAAGGAGAGAGAAGAAAGAGAAAGAAAAGAAGAAAAATAAGAGAGAAGACAAAAAAGACAAAGAAGAAACAGAAAGAAAAGGATTAACAAAAAAGAGAAAAGAGAAAGGGAAAGGAAGGAAGGAAGACAAGGCTTGTTTTTTTATTTGTTTGGTCAGAGTTTTGATTCCCCCCTTCCTTATGCTTAATGAACTAGTGGGCTGACTTGTGGAGAGTCTTGAGCTAATTTCTAACTTAGCTATATTAAATTGCACATATATGCACATTTTGAAAAAACAGAGCTGTGCTGGAGCCCACCCCCTGGTTCCGCCCTTGAATACAAGTAGGTGACAAAATGGCCAGAAATTTTCATGGTTGTCTTCAACTATTAGTGCCAATACGTTCAATTGAAGCAACCAAATTAATAAAAATCTGTTCGTTTTCACGAATTCTGAATAATGCTGACGCATTCATTTCAACATAACTGGTTGAATATATTGGATCAATTGCAACATATGCGCATGTACATGCGCATGGTGTGTTTAGATTAAATGACCAGTTTTACTATTGCACCAAGTTTTGCAAAAGGGCATGCAAAGTAGGTCGTACGTTTAACATGGAAATAGGAGTGGGAAATAGGATAAAACTTGCATATAATATGGCAAGTCTGAAAATGTCGGGCGACAACTCAACTTCTGGGCCAAAATGTCCCTTTTATCAAGCGTCGACATGGAAATTAGGAGGGTGAGGTGATTTCTTCTCCCATGTCAGCAATGTATCTCCAGTATTTTACGATAGTTATGATGTATCTCGATATTTCGTACAAACACAAAAATGTTCCAAAATAGAAGAAAGAAGATGCAAATTCAAACATAATAAACAGTATAGTTGTTTAGAATCTTTAACTGAGTCAAATATAAACCGAACTTAGCCTAACTGAGCACTCATGTACTAACCCAGACAATTATTCAAACAAAGTGTTTTGTATCAAGAACTATGCCTCGAGTTGGAACTTGGAGGGCCCATATTATATGCATGTCTGATATTTTCATCTTTTATAACAGTGACAGAGGAGAATCCATTTTTGGGGATCCAATAATAATAGAGATTTATTACATGGGATGCCAACAATATAGATGTTTCAATGTTTCAATATGGAAGCAATCACATAAGGATTAAAATGGCAGGACATCAGACATGAGAAACTAAGGGGAGAGAGAGAGAGAGAGAGAGAGAGAGAGAGAGGTAATGGATTATATTGCGGTTCAAGCAAGAGAAGGCCATAACACTGTATAGCAATAGCACCGTAAAATAAGATGCAAAGAATGAGGATGGGGGTCATGTTTTCAAGTACCAAAACACGCAAGGGCATTTTGGTAAAGTACGTATATATCCTCTTCCTGCTACACATATTATTAGCCTACGTAAGGTCACTACGGCGCCGTTTCCCTTTTTTATTGGCGTAGTTAATCTCATCATCCACACAAGTTCATTTCGTTCAAAGCTATAAATAACCCATCAAACCATTCAACTTTCCCACCACGACTCCTCACTCCTTCAACTCATTAACCTCTCTCTCTCTCTCTCTCTCTCATTGTCATCCGCAAATGGCAAACCGTAGAAGCCTCTTTTCTCTCTCACTTGTCTTTGTGTTCATGATCAACTCAGCCATAGCCACCCCAGTCACATACAATGTGGCCAGTTTAGGAGCCAAAGCAGATGGCAAGACTGACTCCACAAAAGCCTTCCTCTCTGCATGGGCTAAAGCTTGTGCCTCGATGAATCCCAGTGTCATTTATGTGCCGGCAGGAACGTTCTTTCTTCGCGATGTGGTGTTTAGTGGGCCTTGCAAGAACAATGCCATCACCTTTCGCATTGCCGGAACCCTTGTGGCCCCGTCCGATTACCGGGTCATCGGTAATGCAGCTAACTGGATTTTCTTTCACCATGTAAACGGGGTTACCATATCAGGTGGAATTCTTGACGGCCAAGGCACTGCCTTGTGGGCTTGCAAGGCCTCCCATGGCAAGAGTTGTCCCAGCGGAGCAACGGTAATTAATTATCTGCTTTAAATATCAAATTCATGACACCATTATTTTGAGTTATGACCAGAAAAAGAAATAATGATAATACAATTCCACATGTGCATGTGCTTCATTATTAGTGAGAATTTTAAAGGTCGACGTACGTACAATTTGCTTTATTATCTGCCCCCAATTGAATTGAGCTTGATCAAGTAATTTCGTGTGTATATGTGCAGACATTGGGTTTTTCCTACTCAAACAACATTGTGGTGAGTGGATTGGTATCCCTAAACAGCCAAATGTTCCACATAGTCATCAACGACTGCCAAAATGTGCAAATGCAAGGTGTCAGGGTTTCTGCTTCCGGTAATAGCCCTAACACCGATGGCATTCATGTCCAAATGTCATCTGGTGTCACAATCCTCAACTCCAAGATTGCAACCGGTGACGATTGTGTCTCAATTGGCCCCGGAACCTCAAATTTGTGGATTGAAAGCGTTGCATGTGGACCTGGCCATGGAATTAGGTATACCACATCAAAATTATGCATCCATGATTGATTAAACTAGCTAAATGCATACTATTTCATAATATACGTTATAATGTACATCCTAACAAAAATGTATACCTTTTTTCTTCGTTGCTTAATGATATTTGAATTTAGGACATCTTCCAATAAAGGGAAAATTAATTGGGTGCTAGTAGACCAAATGGCCATTGCATACAAAAGTTTATCTTTCTTTTGGGTGGATGTTCTAGTTGTAACTTGTAAATTTAACATTGTTTTACTTGATGGTTCAGCATCGGGAGTCTAGGCAAGGAGCAAGAAGAGGCCGGTGTACAAAATGTAACAGTTAAAACGGTTACCTTTACTGGTACTCAGAATGGTCTAAGGATCAAGTCATGGGGGAGGGCAAGCACTGGGTTTGCTAGAAATATTCTTTTCCAACATGCGACAATGGTCAATGTCGAAAATCCTATTGTTATCGATCAACATTATTGCCCCGACAACAAAGGGTGCCCTGGTCAGGTAAGATATCATTCATGCTTCCCAAAGTTTAATTACAACTAAATTTTCTCTTTTTCACGTGTGTAGTGTAAGGATACTACTTGCCTCCTTACTAGTAAAGATATATTCCTCATTGTGAATCACAGTTTGATACATGTGCAAAAATAATTCATAAAAAACACAAAAAGAAAAAATTATGCACATATGTCACACTGCTATTGACAGGAATGTAGAAATTTCTACTTACCTGATAAGGAGAGAAGTATTTTCCGTAGTGTAATGTTTTTGATAAAAACGTGGGATAACCAAATTATAACTGTCTAATTTCGAAACATATCAAAAGCTTTCATGGGCTTCCAACTAGAAGAGAGGGAAAAAGGAGGACTTTTCTATATGGGCTAAGCCAATAATTTTAGACCCAAAGAAAACCCGATAACTCCTTACTTCATGGGCTTGCTCTCCTACTACTTACAAAGGTCAAGCCTTGCCCATTGTAACCTTTGTAACTTATTAATAACTTGATTGTATTTTGTAATGGGTTGTAGCTCAAGTCGTCAACAATATTTATCTCTGTATTCGAAATTTAAAGTAACTTCATCGTAGCTTTGCCAAAAAAGCATTAAACTTCCCATTAAGCCGAATTCCCATGCTATAATACTTGTTCACCTTCTGTTTGATCAAAAGCTGGAAATCTGACTTTTGTATTTTTTTTTTTTTCTTTTGTCAATTTTGTTTTTCGATAGGTTTCTGGAGTTCAAATTAGCGATGTGACATACGAAGACATACACGGTACATCAGCAACAGAAGTTGCAGTAAAATTTGATTGCAGTCCCAAGCACCCTTGTAGCGAGATCAAATTGAAGGATGTGAAGCTTACTTACCAGAACCAAGCAGCTGAGTCTTCATGTAGCCATGCAGATGGAACCACTGAGGGTGTGGTTCAGCCTACAAGTTGTTTGTAGAGTGGAAAAATATGAGCTGCTTGTAGAATTATTGAAATCCAAAAGTTTGCCCTCCATTACTAGGGACAAATGAAAAGATAATTATACGATTTATAGGAAGATTGAGCTTGTGGCGTTGAGCCTGGCCTTGCAATTTGTTTAGTTTGTTCGAACTTGTCGACTTCGATGGGTGTTTATGTTATGAACTGTTGTAAGATTATATATATTCAGGAGACGTTAAATTCACAAGATTAAATTTGATTTTGATGGCTGATGTGGTATTTGACATAGGTTTCAATATTCTATTACACTCAATATGTCAATTTAATTCACTATTTTATTATAATCGGAAGCACACATTAAATGGTAAAAATTTGGTTCAAGAGACAAAAGGATTTGAACTCTCGCATGAACTTTTTGGTTGGAGCATTTTCTCATGTCAAATTTATCCGTTAAAAGTTTATTATAGTATTTTAACATTTCGGTTGAAGATGCTCTAAAAAATCGACTTATATAAATCTTAAATATGCATTGATTCAGGATGCATTTTTGTTTCTTATTCTTGAGCTTTGGGCTTTAGGTAATTAACTTGAAATGTTGTTGGGCACCTTGCACTAATTGACTAAAGAAAATAGACCCGAAGCAAGATTCCTTGTAGTTGCCAATTTGAAGTTTTCTTTATCGCTACATACTTACTGGTCTACAAGATCTCTCTCTAATACATAATTTGACATAAATAAATATAGTGAAGAGTGCATTGACTAAACAAAAAACAAAACAAAAAAGCAGCACGTAAGCAATTACGTGGATTTGGTGTAAAAGCTAAAGGCCTCTGATTTATGTAAGCAGTTACGGTAGTCGTATTATATTATATGTATCTTGGCTCTGCAATTGTAATGGGGATAAAAATATTTTGCTATCCCCAACCAATAACACAATGATACATGGAAAAGTTATCTCATGTGTCATTGCGTTATTGGCTGGAGATAGCAAAAAGTGCTATCCCCGTTGCATGAAAGTATTTCTTCTGCATTGCATATCCTATTATAGAAAAAAGAAAAAAAATAAGAAAAGGAAGAACTCAATTGATCAATCATAGTGAAGAAAATATATTGAAAGAAAATATCAATTAATCCCCTCTTATATTGAAGGCTTCAATAATAAATAAAATTTGCATATAGAATTGGGCCAGTCGGTCAAGACAGTGTGCTCGTTCCTTTGCACCTGAGTTCAATCCCCTTCCCCGAACATTTTCAAACAAATAATAATAAAATAAAAATGTGAATTTGAAAGTCAATGTCGTAGTAAAATATGGTTTTTTAGTATCAATATTAAGGAAAGCCATGGTTCTAGCAGAATGCCTCCACTGCTATATATAAGGTTTGGATCACCCTACCCTTAAGCACCAAGCAGAGAGAGAGAGAGAGAGGAATGGCAGAAGTGAGTAACAAGCAGGTGATACTGAGGGAGTATGTCACTGGCTTTCCCAAAGAGTCAGACTTGTACGTGAGTAGCACTGCTACTATCAAGTTGAAGCTTTCTGAGCCTGAGCATGAGGGTTCTTCAAACAAACTAGTTCTAGTGAAGAATCTTTACTTGTCTTGCGATCCCTACCAACGACTACTTATGGAACGAATCGAAGGCCTCAGCAGCCAACCCAATTCCTCCTTTACGCCTGGCTCTGTAAGCAAAACGCATCATATATCTTTTCCTTTCAATTTCTGTAAATATATATACCAAATGTTAGCATCTACCAGCGCAATGAGCACAAATAACTGTGATTAATAGGTAGTAGGAGCTGATAGTGGTTTTCGTCACCACATCCTATGCCACAAATATTAATGATTACCACTTATTTTTCTAGTAGTGCTTGTTTTTTTGTTGACAACATTGGGAGGAGAGGAGCCAATTAATTTTGTTGGTGTAAACGTGCAGCCAATATATGGGTATGGAGTGGCTAAAGTTTTGGACTCTGGGCACCCAGATTTGAAGGCAGGTGACTTAGTTTGGGGGACTACCTATTGGGAAGAGTACAGCCGAATCCCTGCACCCGAAGGCCTGATCAAAATCCAGCACACTGATGTACCTCTATCCTATTATACTGGAATTCTTGGTAATAAGTCTAACCAATTTTAGCTCATGATGATATGTGTTGGTTTAGATACATAAGTGTATTTTGTAGTTTCATTTCAGGTATGCCTGGTTTGACAGCTTATGTTGGTTTCTACGAAATTTGTTCTCCTAAGAAAGGAGAACATGTCTTCATTTCAGCAGCAGCTGGTGCTGTTGGTCAGCTTGTTGGACAATTTGCAAAATTAATGGGTTGTTATGTTGTTGGAAGTGCTGGCAGTAAGGAAAAGGTACAAACTTGAGAAATCTTTTAATTTCAAATTAATATTATCTACACCATTTTTTTTCTTGTTTCGGTTGTATTTTGCTGTTGTTATTTGGGCCAACTTTGGTGTTGGTTTGGGTTGGGGCCTCTGTTTGTGTTGTTGAATTGGGTCTTTTAGTTGTTTTTCTAAACTCTGACTTAACCATCTTCTTTGCGTGTGCCTAAATTTATAATTTTGACCAGTGTCACGCAGGAAAATGTTTCATGCTTTATTAACAGGGGGCTTTAGATGAGTATTTTATTCAGATGAAAAGTGATTCATTCCTTTCCTTTATGGATTCATCTTGTTAGGTTGATCTATTGAAGAATAAGCTTGGATTTGATGAGGCTTTTAACTATAAAGAAGAGGCTGACTTGAATGCGGCTTTCAAAAGGTACATATGAGTAATGATAGAGAAATTACATTTATAGACCCTAGTGTACCACCAATACAATGAGTCTCAACTCTATTAGACAGGTGGTATACAAAGCAGTCTATAAATGTGATCTCCCTATCATTTTCCGTAAAATAATATTTATTATGTCATACTAGTTTCCTTCAGTAAGAAAAGAAAGGAAAAAACGATTATTAAGAATTTGTGTGTTGTTAGGGTTCGTCATTGGGCTGGGCCAACTAAATGGCCCGGACTTTTTAAAAAAAGTCTTTTAAATCTTTTTGTTACACATTTTGTTTTTTCAAAAGTGATGGATATAGAGTATTCTCTTAAACAATAGTATAGATTACTACATAACTTAAGAAAACAAAAATATAATAGCCAAACTTTTTTACTAAACCTAGACCAATAACCAATATATTTAAAAAATATTATACCTGAAAATGAATCTTATGATGTGCAATTTGTGCCTTAATTAACTTCTATCCCAAATTAGGATTGACATCATGAAAATTAAAGCAATTTGTGCCTTTAGAATTAATAAACCCAAAATAAGCTTTCAAATTCTTTATTGAACCATTAAATTTGAACTTGACAAAAAAGGGACACTAAGAGATATAGTGCATATATTGCTTGTTTGTTACAAAATTTTAGACAACATTGAAAAAATTAACTTAATTTATAACATGTGTAAACAAAATAAAAAGTTTATTAGTTTGTTGTACATATTATATTATTTTGATATGAGGTTAGAGAATGCATCAATTATTCTTAAAAAAAAGAAAGGCATAAGCGGGCGGGCCGAGAGGGCCTAACCATCCGGCTAGGCCGGACTTTGGCCCATCAGGCCTCGGACTACCCACTTTGGGGCCGCGGACCAAATGATGATCCCTATATGTTGTATATGATGCTTTGAAGCTTGAGCTTTCTTGAGTGAAAGATAAATTTTCTTCGTAATTACCATACACTTGCCAGGTATTTCCCTGAAGGCATTGATATTTACTTTGAGAATGTTGGAGGCAAAATGCTAGACGCAGTGCTCCTCAACATGAGACTCCATGGCCGCATTGCTGTATGTGGAATGATCTCACAGTACAATCTTGATCAAGCAGAAGGGGTAACGAATTTGATGCACCTCGTGTACAAACGTATCCGCCTCCATGGATTTTCAGTAAGAGATCACTATCACCTCCATTCGAAATTCGTGGAGTCTATGCTGCCTTACATTAGGCAAGGAAAGATTGTTTATATGGAAGACATAGTTGAAGGCCTTGAGAGTGGTCCAAGAGCGCTGGTTGGACTTTTTAAGGGTCTTAACTTCGGAAAACAAGTAGTTGACATCTCTGCATGAATAAGTTGTTCTGTCAATCGGCGATTTGGTGTGCTTGTGTTTCTAACCACTACAACTTTGTTAAGTGGCTCTTTGGTTTTATTTTTATGTTTTTGGATTCTTTTTGGGATTGCATATGTTAAGTGGTGCACTTTGTCATACAGAAGATATTCATCAATAATAAGGGCTAGTTTGGGATTGTTGTCACTTTTTAAAAAAGATGCTTATGCTAGCTTTGGAAATAATGAGCAGTAAAGTAAAGTAGTTCCATGCTTGTTAAATAATATTTTTAAAGTGTTGTTAGTATAAAAAGCAGTGTCAAAACCGTTTGGTAAATTTTAATATAAGTCTATTGGTGGTGGTGGAGGTGATGGTGGTGGTATAGGTGGAGGTTGAGTTGGTGGATGTGCTGACGGTGGTGAAGGTGGTGGTGGGTGGTGGGGGTAGTGATGTTACTGCATGTGGTGGTGGTTGTAGTGGTTGAGGTGGAGGTGGTGATCGTGGTATAGGTGGAGGTGGAGGTGGAGTTGGTGGTAGAGGTGGTGGGTAGTGGTAGTGGTAAATGTCAAATCGAGGTACAAGTGATCAAATAAGTGTACAATAAAAGTTCTTGGGAATTAGATTGATAACTGTGTTTTTCGAATTAACAAGAAAATTGAGACATATTTTCACATTTATTGAGTTACTGTGGAAATTTACAACCCATATGGGTCACATAGGAATAATCAAGTCGGCAATAAAGCTTGGGTGGTATGACATCCTCTATAGGCCTAGAAGTGTGATATAAAGGCACAAGGTTCGGCAAACTCTGTAGTTGAATTACCACATCTATTATAGGGTTACACAGATGGCCCAAAAAATCCCTTGTTTTACAAGGAATATATCTCTAACTGGATAGCCGCATTTAATATGGATTTCATAACATTTCATATATATCTCAAGCACCTATTCGACCAGATGAGTGCTGCTACGGGCACCAACTTAAATACCAATTTAATGATACCAACCTATGTGGCACATGACATGACAATTTATGTCATATGCCACATAATTTTTTTTATTAGTTAAGTTTTAAACCTTTTTTTTTGCCAGAATTAACTTAATTATTTAGTTCTAAGTAAATAAATTCTGCTCCATGCCTCCCTTCCTTCTCAGATCTACCATGGCCTCCTT